TAACGGAACTACTAATGCTAATATCCATTTTAATGTATTCTTAATGCCTTTCTTATAAGCCTGGAGTTGGAAATGTGCCCCATTTCCCTTTCTTTTAAGAGATGTGACAAGCATCATTTCATTTTCTAATTCTTTGTAGCCGCATTTCAGATGAGCACTTTAATTAAAGCTGTGGCCAAGGAGAATATGGTGCACCGGACTCCTATGACAATTTTGCTGATAACAGCTTTTCAAGCTTGGGGAGCCTTGTGCTTTGCAGCAGGAGTTGAATACTTCCGGTGGTTTAATACCTGTAAAAGCTCCTTAGAAAGAAAATGTTGGGAATGTAAATGTGAGGTGCCACTGTTATTGGATTCCTAGTTTGATGACTCACAACATTTTGGAGGTGAAAATGCCATTGTAATTTATTCCATATTGTAATTCCTCAGTATTAGAGACTTGGGTACTTCCAGGTCATGGATGCTGAAAAGCCAAAGCTAACGGTTTAGAAATAATTATAAAACTTCACTGAGAATATGAACAGGCCACAGGGGTTTTTCTATGATTTTTCTGCCAGAATTACTTAGTGTAAACTCTTCTAGAAGCAAGGAGAAGAGAATTTTCTAGAGGGCAGATGGGTTCCTTGAGGAAAGTTGGATCTTCCCTCTCTATAGGTCTATGATCGGGATCAGAAGTTTCAGTAACAAATCTTAGTTTTAGTCTCAGATTCAGAAGGCACTGTCGGTACAATGGTCTGGAAACTACAAGATGAAAATTGGAAATCGATGGAGCAATTACAACCCCTCTGCCTCCCCCCCCCCCCCCCCCCAATACCTCACCGTGCTTATGGAAAGTTGCTTAGTTAGCCATAGTCTAGTGATTCCCTATTTTGTTTTGCAAAGTGGGATTCCTTTAATTTCGTATTTGTTGAGTGTGAGTCAATGATGATTCCCAGATCAAATTTGCATAATGCAACGTAAAACAAATGTTTAAAGAGTCAAATTCCATCCCAAAGCATTTTAGGAGTACAAGGTTGTAGATGCCTCTCTCCACCCCCAATCTAGAGTCTCTCCCTGGGTCTTCCCTCCTTCCTGCTATCCTCTACCCACAATGCACAGACAATGAGGCTTTCATCTTGGCAGGCTTTCATAGTTAGAGCTTTAAGTATGAAAATGAAGCATAAGAACAGTTACCTCAATTGTATGAAAACTGTAATAAGAAGCTCAACCTGCTCTAATAAGCAGAGCAAATAGCAAGGGAAAACCTGAGAATTATCTGGGTGACCTGAGAGGTTTAAATACAAGCTCTTAATTAGCTTATACTTACCTTGTCCACAAGACAGCTCAGCATTAATTAAAAGAGATGATTAGTAAGCAAATAAGATTCTGTCTCAACAAGTGTAGCACTGGTTCCTTTTCTAAATAACCTACCATCTTAGCCTCAGATAATGAAGAGTCTTTGGGGAAGGACTCAATGTCCAATGGTGCTTTCTCTTGCTACTGCTCTCTAAGGCAGTTTCAAAACGTTACCTGGAACACCCACCCTTGTAAGACAACGGTGAAACCAGAGCTTTAGTATCTGCATCTCTTTGACTTTGGTCCCCTGTTCTGACTTTTATGATGCTTCAGGTCCCCCAGAAGCCAAGGACTGCCTTGTTTGGGGACATGACCTTTGGTAATACATGGCTTGGTATTGAAAAAGGAGTGAGAATCCTTCATTCACTGAGAGCTTTGAATGTCTCCTTGTGTCACAGTTTCTCTGCAATGTGTGAGAGAAGCTGGATTCATTTGTTTTACTAGAGCTTGTCAAGCCTGGGAATTGAAGACGAATACTACAAAGGACTAGGAAGGACTCAGAACATGGTTCTATTAACAGCCTAGGATGCAATTTGACCAAGAGATCTTCCCATTCATAGATTTTCTGCATCTCATGAAGCTCATCCAATAATAGTGATCTTCTATCTCTAACGCAAAGTTTTCAGAATCCTTATAAAAAGCTAGAAAAATAATGGCAATTAGCTTCCTTCCAAAACACAACGATAGTGTGTGCCAGGCACGCAGGGCAGAGAAGAAACAGAACTGCTGGGGAGTCCTGAGGAGCCTGAATTTGAGAACTGTCTCTGTCATTAAATAATTGTGTAACTCATGGGAGATAATTCAACTTGACTGGGTTCCTTATAAAACAGGTAGAGAGATTTGGCATTATTTAGCAATTTTAAAGCCTGGCTGGAATAACCAGGCTAACTTAAAACAACAACATCAACAACAACAACAACAATAACAAAAACACTGGGTGCCAGTTTCTATCCCAGACCAATGAAGGAGACTCTCTGGTGAAGACTCTTGCATGAGCATCTGTAGGAGCCTCTGTCGTACTCCAGAGCCTCCAGGCTGAGAGCCACTGCACATGATCCCTCCAGTGTCTCTGGAGCTCAGAGTTCTGTGGCCTTGTGCTGTACTGCCTGTGGTAACACAGGCATACAACGCTCCTGAACAGGTATGGTTTTAACAATTTTAATAACAATGAAAATAATTTTAATAACGATTCTCTTTATTCCAATTGTATCTTCCACCAAACTCCAGCAATCTCTGCCTCACCTTGTGTCCAGACCACATTGGCATTTTGAAGACCCAAGCACCTCATCTTGGATTGTCTTAAAGGGAACAGTTAAGGTTATACCTTATTTTTAAAAAAATTAATGAAGTTCAATGTTAATCTGCCCTCTAGAATTTCTGACCACTTGGCTAAAAATCATTTCAACTTTCAAATATTTTGTCAGGAGCAGGTGACCAAAGCCATATTAAGTCAGTTGACTTGTTTCACTTAAATCCTGGCCAATAATTTACCACAGCTTCCCATCTAAAGGCTGGCACTCTTTCACAGACAGTAGTTTCTGACTTTCCCTTTGTCCAAACTGCAACCTTATTTGTTGAAGAGGTCGAGAAATAAAATTGGTGCAAATGACCATCCTGCCTAATAAAGCAAGACATATGACATTTGGACAACTCAACTTATTTGTCTAGACAGAAGAATCAAAATACGTCAAGGGCAAATATTCAAAGTGGAAATAATGTGCATTGTACCTGGTGAATAGTGTGGACTCCTACTTGTCCTATCTAATAAAGAGGGATATGCTAATTGACTGCTACCCTCAAAGTTGGTGGTGCTCACAGCCATAAGATGGAGTCCCCCAGTTCCCTCAGCCCCCCAACTGCCCAGGGCTGGCCCAAGGCTCAGGCAAACCTCAGATGGTGGCTTCTCAGCTACCCAGAGCCACTCAAGGCTCAGGTAACTAGGGCCAGCTGAGGCTTGGCTGTCCGCAGTGGCAGCAGCAGCAGCAGCAGAGGTGTGTTGGGGTGTCACGTTCCCCTGATCATCGAATCACCTCCTTCCCTTGAGGGCTCCTGGACTGTGAGAGGGGGCAGGCCAGACTGTGCATGAATTTTCATGCACCAGGCCTCTAGTTAAACACAAATCGGTTTCCAAAATATGTCCTGGTCACTGGAAGCATCATGGTAATTAGCATCTCCCCAGGTGATCACTTTGGAGGGACACTCTTACTTATGAGCAAAATCATGCTCAATTTGACAGACACTGCATTCCAACAGAGGAAATAATGACCAGAAGCTTATTTACCATGTGCCTCTGAGTTTGTGGCATGATACTTGCTGGCATCATTCAAGGACCCTATGAAGTCACTGGGAGTGCCGCTCTATGATTATTGCCTACAAGCCACTTCCTCTCCTGCGGTACTTTTCTTATAGGGAAAGTGTGCATAACTTTTAATTAACGCATGGTTCAAGAAGACCCACACTGTATATGGTTCAATCCAGACTGTGAATGGGGACTGTGCTGAGCTAGGGACCCTAAATGATCTTGTGTAGGAAAATGCATTCCTTAATTGGATGTGGAAGTTACCATCTCCATTTCCCTACTTCTGTACAGGCCTAGATTAACCCTTCTTTCTTTTGCCAGTCCCTCACTGGCAGTAGCATATAGTATTTCTTTTTCTCCAATATATTATTCAAAATTGGTATTAATCTAATATATAGCTTAGAATTAAGTTTCTCAGGGAAAAACTGTGAGAATAGCTTATAGCTATTCATGGTGAAGAAAATATTGCAGTTGGCAGGGGGGCGGGGTGCAGATGTGAGAATGGGGAGGGGAGAGAAAAAGGACAAGAGGAATGGCTTTGTTGTCCATTTCCGGATTGTAACTGGTGTGAAGCAGTTACATTTTGTAGTATGCTTCTCTGAACTCGGAAGCCTCTGTGGTAAGCCTGACAACAGCCACCTCCAATGGCTCTTCCCTTGACAATCTCTCTTTCAACAGAGGCAAACTTGGAATACAGCATTTCTAGAATTTCAAAAAAAACACATGCTATACATTTCTCCTGGCAAAATCTGACAGCCAAGTAGGGAGAAGTCCATGACGAAAGTTGAAATTTAAAAGTGACAATTCTGAGAACTAAAATGTGTTTATTTCCTAAGGCTTCCTTTCCAAAGAAAAATGCTTTTCATATGGAGTGCTTCCATTGAGAACATTATTGGACACAGCTGCTTGGAGAAAAACACTCCATCTGATAGAAGAGAGAAGAAAATAGACTGGCACGATCATTTCTACTTTGAATTGAGAGAAATCCTAGTTACCAATAGGACAAAATAGAAACCTAAAGGTAAGATCTTTTTCTTTTTTTTTTTTTTTAACCAAAGGAGTTAGAAAAACATGTCTTAACAAGGAGACCCAGAAAGTAGCATCATAAATAGTGGATTGAAAGCTACTTATTATGAATAAAAACAGCAGTCACATGTCTGATCTCATACTAATCCTCAGAGGGAGGTTTGTTTGCCTCATTTTATAGAGAAAGAGCATAGATATGTAGGACAAGGTAATTAGAGAAGGCTATCCAGCCAGGAAACGGCAGGGTTGGGATTAGATCTAAAGAGTAAATCTCCAGCTCTTTACCATTGCCTCGGAGGACTTGTGAGAGAATTTGGGAAATGAAGGTTTTTTCTGATTACCATGGCTTTGTTGGAATGGCCACCTCCTTGGAACTCAATGGTCCCGAAAGCATCTGTGGGGCTGAGCTGAGTGTGCTTGCTGATGGACCACTTCTCAGACTGGATGTCATTCCGGGAGAGGCGACTCTCATTTTTCTCATTCTGAAGAACGGAGATACTGGGAGTGAGGCCCACGTGCTGGCCTATTAGACGCCCACAGCAGCACCTGTAACAGAGGAGGTCAGAGTGAACCATTGGATTAGCTGCCACTGGAATACACACTTGAGGCTGGAAAATCTACAGCCTGTAGCAAGCCAGTCAGTCAGTTTTCAGGTGGAATCCCATATTGTGGTTGCACATGAGGCAATCAGGATTTACCTTTTCTGCTGCCTCCTTTTTTTCCCCTCAGCGGTGTAAGCTATACCATGTCTCCTGTCCTTCTCCACCCACCCCCCTCACACCTGCCATATTGTTCAAGATTGGACTCTGCGAACAAAAGCTCTGTAGATGTTTTTACTTCTTACTCCTTCTGTCGATCAAATCTTGCAGGAGGGACACAGCTCCCAGGGAAGAATGTTAATATGCACATTTAAATGAGGAATCTCACTCATAGGTGAGTCACTACCTAACTTGTCTTTTTTCCAAATTGACATTCAGTGTCAAAAAGCCAATTCAGAGGGAAAAATTCAGCAGCTAAAGTGTTCTTAAAGAAACAATGAAAGAATTCTTCACAAGATATCTGAAAACAAAATTCACTCCTTAACCCATGAAAATGTCCTTCAGACTTTCCTACCACTGCGGTTATGATGACCGTTATAACACTGATACATAGTTACCATTTATTAAATGCTAACAGTGTGGAATTCACTTTATGAGTATAATACTGTAGTTTTGAAGGTCAGATAATTTCTCAAGGTTACATAGTCTATATGACTCTATAGTATATATTTTAAACTGCTTACTACATTGCCTTTAAGAAAAGGCATTTCCAGATGTTGATATGTTACTTTATCCCAAATACTTCCAACTCTTTTGATTTTCAAAAAGGTAAGCAGAATATTAAAAAATGTGCTTGGATAGGAATTTGAAGGTCTGCAGTCAAATTAGTAATCTGCTAAAAGTCATTAATTTAAAAATCTCCTTTTCATTACAGCAATGCATGTTGGTACAAAGAAGTATTTTGATGAAATGCTTAAAAGGGAAAACCAGTAACCATACTTTATATATATATATATATATTCCATTTTAGTTACAGTGATTAATTCTTTCCCTGGTGGTATATTTGTTATTCTGTATAGATTCTTAGAGAATTCACTGCAAAGATGGCATATTATGTGGTATGTGTATATGTAATTGCTGCAAAGAGGCCCAGCAACAAAAATTGAACTTTAATTTCACACTGGTCTACATGTAATGAACAGTGCTAACTATCGTAGTTTTCCCATAGTTGCTACTCTATGTTCTCGGTACACGATAAAGACAGCAAAATTACCTATGGGGGTCTTTGGTGCTGGGTATGATGTGAACACATTCTCTTTTATAAAATGCTCTTTCTATCCAGGATTTCTGAGCCTAAAAAAAAAAAAAAAAAAAAAGAAGAGTAGAGGTGAACATAATCTTTAAGATTTTAGGCAGCAAAATTTCAGAATAACATGATGGACTAGTACCTCATAAGCTGAATTGAAATTGTGGTTACACACATAAACAGTACTTCAACAAAAGCTATCATTCCCAGAACATTATAATTAGGTTGTTCAGCATTATAATATTGTGAGTTAAAGGAAATGATCATAATAAAACATAGTGATAGAACCATATACAAATTCATGATTTTTGAAGGACAGAAAAACAATAATCGTTTTAGAGAAAACAAAAAATATACAGCAGTATGCTTTTAACCCTACAGATAACAAGTGTTCAGTTGTGGGAAAATATACAGTTGAACCTTGAACAACATATATTTGAACTGTGTGGGCCCACTTACATGTGAATTTTTTTAAAATAGTGTAAATGTATTTTCTTTCCCTTATGATTTTCTTAATAACATTTTCTTTAGTTTACTTTATTGTAAGAATACAATATTTAATATATACAACAAACAACATATGTATTGATTATTTACGTTAAGGCTTTCGGTTAACTGTAAGCAATTAGTAGATAAGTTTTTGGGGAGTCAAAAGTTACACTCAAATTTGTGACTCTGTAGGAAGTTGGCTCCTCTAAACCTTGCTTTATTCAAGGGTCTACCATATATCTAAACAAATATAAAGTTTTCATGGCTAACACTTAGATTTTTCTTGGAAAAGGAAAGAAAAATGGTGAGGGAATTACATAACTCAAGGGCCCTAATCCATCACCATGATTTTTCTAAAATCTACATTAGCAGTGCTTAAATACAGACAGGGAAAAATAAAAATGGAAACATGAGGAAGATAAATGTCTTCATCACAGTCCAAATTTTCATAGGTAATGCCTTTGCAAGGAAGTACAAGATCAGTTTTCTTGCATCCCACATGCCTTTATGCACAGAAAATACAGCTTCTAAGAAGGGCATTGTTGGGGCTGTCCATCCAGAAGTCTGGCCACTAAGATGGGGCTCCAGGAAAGATAAAAGGCAGTTCTGGAAAACTCTACCATCTTTGTCCCAAAGCAGAGTGGCCATCCTGCATCCTTTTGCCCCTTTCTTTAAAGCACTTGAAATGGAGTGTCTCTTATGGAACCCAGAAAGCTTCTCAAAAGATTCCTTCTCTAAGTGTTTAAGATGAAAGTTGCTATAGCAACTTAAATCATTATTTAAATCTGGTGTCATCTTCTATCTAATCCAGTGTCAGGACTAAATGTATACTCTTAAAATACACAAGGCCAAAGCACAGCCACGCTGTAGACTTGGCCTGTCTCAATGACCACTGTTAACTGTGACAAGCCCCCAACTGCTGGCCATGATTGATATTGACTCTGCCAAGACCCCAAATGTCCACATAAGTTGTGCTAAGATCTGGTTTGCCCTCCACCCCTTATTTGTGCATCTCCGTCCTCTCTCAAAACAGAGTGTCCATAAGCAGGTGCCCCTGAAGGCAGTGGTTGTCTAATACTCATGACAACACACACTTAAAAGTAGCAACACGGGGGATGCCTGAGGGGTACGCAGGAACCGCATCCTGTTTCCGTCACGGTCACAATCGGCCCCATACTTTCTGAGTGTTTATGCACATTCCACATGACAGGGAGCGCCCACCTTGCCTCAGAGATCTGTAGGTCCAGGGGGCCTCCTGCACCCTCCCACCACCAAGGCCACATTTGCAGTTCTGTTTGTCTGCTGGGCATGAAAAAGACCCAGTGTCTATTCTCAAAGAATTTTTTCTTTTCAAATATGTAGGAAAAGCTAGTGGCTACATCTTTGCAACAGTGTAGATGATAACCAGTCTTTATCTTTCTAAAAAGCCTGTAAGTTAAACTATTCATGGGCTGTGATTTTTTCCTAGACACTGAATACTCTCGTTGATAACATCTCTTGGCAGAAAGATGGTAAAAATATTCCTCACTGGACACTTGAAACCAACTTTCCCTACACCTTGGGGAGCAGAAAAGAGTGCACGTTCCTTTTTGCTTTGTGGTCCACGTTGGCTAGGGTTCAGAAGGATCTTTTTGGGGAGAACCTGAGAATTTCAGGGCGTACGGATCAATACTCTCTGAGAGAAAGCAAGAATGGTAACATCCTGGGTAGAGCACGAGGTTCGCAGTGAGAAAAAAAATGGTGTGAGTGGGACTCTGCTATGTGGACCTAGTCAAATAATTTCTTCGTTCCTCAGATTTCTTCATCTATAAAATGGGCACAACAACATTCCTGGCACACAGAGTTATTATTATTTGAGAACTGTGTTTTCACTTCAAGAAGTCGGGCAGTCCCAGGCTGGTTCTGATATTAAAAGTTCAGGTGAAGTTTCAGACACGAGTACTGTGATTTTGCTGTAGCAGACTGACCTAGATTGATCTCACGTTGCACTGGAGAATACTGGCCAACAACGAGGCATGTAGGAAAGCTAATTAATTTCCCTAAGACTTTTCTATAACATGAGGATAATCATAGCTTTTTTTTTTTTTTTTGAGAGTTGTATTGATTGAAGACAATTCAGGGAAAGCACCTGGCACTTAGTAGGAACTCAGTAGGTAGTAACGTCTCAGCTTTATGAAGGGCTCATCATGTGCCTGGGTTTGTGTCATGTGTTATCTCTGTGGAGGCTCATAAGAACACTGTGATTACTATTCTATCCATTTTATCAATGAAGGAACTAGTCAGAGGCATCAAATAAATTTTACAGCCAGAGTTTGAAGTTGAGCAGTCTGACTCTAGGTTCACAATCTTACTCTCTCTGCTAAACTGCTTCCCAAGTGAGATATTATCTAAACACACACACACACACACACACACACACACACACACACACACACACACTTCAGAGATAAAGGGGAGGAGAGAATGAGAGAGAGAGAGAGGGAAACATTGATGATGAGAGAGAATCATTAATCAACTGCCTCCTGCACACTCCGACATGTGCCCTGACCTGGAAGTCAATCGTGATTTCCCGGTTCATAGGTTGATGCTTAACTACTGAGCAACACCAGCCGGGCACCAAGTTGGATATTATTGACCTTAAATACTCTTGATCTTGGCAGTGCCATCTGTGTGTGTCCGGGAGTGCCCTGGTATTTGAAGAGAGTTGGGCTTCTAGAGGCATGTCTTAGAACCAGTTCATTCTTGTATTTTTCCTCTTTTCACCTCCCCTGCCTGTGGGGACTGTTCATTACTCACTATGCTATCTATGCTTCCTCTCCCCTCCAGGTAAAGGATTTGGGTGGGACATTCAGAAGCCATCAAATCATGAGAAGAAAACAGAGAGGGGAAATCTTTACAATAACTACAACAAAGAAATGCAATCACAGTAGACTCCCAGTTTGAGAATCTGGGAGACCATGACATAGATTTTTCAGTGGCACCTTCTTTATTTCCCTCTCTCATGAATCTCAGTTTCCACTTGGAAAGCCCAGGGAGTTCTACTCAGATGTTATGTAGTAAGGGTATTACAGTAGATTGCCGACTTGTTTGTTAGTCTGTAGTTATAAAGTAATTTGACTTGTGTGCAGTTTAGCAACTTCTCTGCCTTCTAAAAGATGGCAGGGCACTTCACTGTTAGCAAAGGGACCCAGGGTTAGTGTCTACTTCTTCTTATTAGAGGATTAACCACTTCCCTTGCAAAGGCCCAGAAAATTGGGAGGAGGGGGGAAAAAGAAACAAGGTAAAGAGAATCTTTCCACCACTCATAATTGAACTGGATCCTTTCTTCTTTGAGAAGTATAACACATAACTGAAAGAATGCATGTATAGCACATGAATTAGAGATTTTACAAAATAATTACACATAGTTTGCCGTGCTCTATTGTGGATTTTGCTTTACTGTGCTCTTTATTCTGGTCTTCAGTGTGGACAGGTAGACTTTTAAAATTATTTTCTTTGAGAGGCCATACTTGAAGTGTAATCAAGGTTTACCTTGTTCTCTAACCCAATTCCCTTTTCATTTGTTCCAAGTCTTTGAATGGCTCAGTGCAGGCTTTCTACTTGGCTTGAACATCCAACTAGGTTAGCTCAGAATGGCTATCCTTATTGTTAGAAAGCATGAAAGAGTTCTGACATGCCGTGCTTCTAGCTGACCATGTATCATGTGAAACCTCAATGGACAAAGTGTTCCAAAATGTCTTTTAAATATACGTCGGAAGTCTCGTGTACTTTGACTTTAGGAAATCATTCATGTACATTCTTTTCTAAAGGTAGGATGGTCCCGTCGCCATAACCGAGTCTGCGAAAGGCAATTTTCCTTCCTCTCTTTCTGCATTATCAGTCATGTGTGATGTGTAAAAGGAAAGTGTTTTCCAAAGGTTAATGATTAAAAGACATCTCATTCAAAACACAAATGAGGACATTCACATTTTAAACAAAGTATAATGATTGCCCTCAAAGAATAACTTAATTACGAATTTTAAAAGTCTAATATACCATAAATAAAGCAGCAAAATTAAAGAAACAGCTATAAATACCACCCTCAAAAGACAAAAAAAAAAGTTATTTCTTTTAAGCAGGTTTCTGCTCTTTTTTCATAAAATCTCTGCTACAAAGGTGCATCCCCCAAGTTACTTTTAATTCTTATTATTATCCACTCTGCACTCGCTACAGAATCAAGGGCTTCTCCAGGCAGAAGTGGTTTACAACTGCATACACAGAGTATGTATAAAATCAGAAATTCTTGGAGCATGCTATTACATTCCACCCTTTAGCAGGGCAACTTTAACCAAAGAACAACTACCCAGAATAGAAATCATAAGATTAAAAAAAAGAAAAAAAAAGAAAAAAAAGAGTCCATTAACTTTACAGGAAAACATTGCAAGTAAAACGTCACTATGTTCCCCATTGTGAGGCTCTCAGGTTTTCAATGTACACTTTGTCCAAAACAGAACAGAATACCAAAGACCCACAGGTACTGAATCCTAGGTTCACTTTTTGCCTTTTGCTTTCCCTCGAG